GGGAGGGGAGTGTGCGGCCAAAGCGTGCTCTTGGGCCCGCGTGCCTCTGTGGGCTGTCTTGAGTGGAAAGGACCCGGCTGGGGGGCATCCCTGGGGTCCCCGCCGCGTCTGGGGAAAATGGGGAGGCGAGATTTCAGGTGGGGCCGAGGGCGCCCTGCTCCCGGGCCTGGGCGGGGAAGGGGCTCTCCAAGTCCTCCGGCTTCTCCACCGGGAAATCTGCTGTCAGTTACTGACCCGAGGGCTTCGGAGACGGTGTTCCCATGGCGACAGCTGGGGAGCCCTCTCCATGGGCAGGCCTTCCTTGGACTCTGCTCCCCCCTCCCCCTTGCTGAGCCTGGAAGCCTGGCCCAGGTCGGGGTTGGGCAACCCGGGTGGCAGGGTGTCTCCCCTTCCCCCACCCTTCCTCCTCCCCCTATGCCTCCCTGTTCACTGACGACGGTTCTCTCCCTGCAGGTGACCAGCGCCATGTCCAGCCAGGTGGTCGGCATCGAGCCTCTGTACATCAAGGCGGAGCCAGCCAGCCCCGACAGCCCCAAGGGCTCCTCGGAGACGGAGGCCGAGCCGCCCGTGGCCCTGGCTCCCGCTCCAGCCCCCACCCGCTGCCTCTCCGGCCACAAGGAGGAGGAAGACGGGGAGGGGGCTGGGCCTGGCGAGCAGGGGGGTGGCAAGCTGGTACTCAGCTCCCTGCCCAAACGCCTCTGCCTGGTCTGTGGGGACGTGGCCTCTGGCTACCACTACGGTGTGGCGTCCTGCGAGGCCTGCAAAGCCTTCTTCAAGAGGACCATCCAGGGTGAGCCCCCAGTCCACTCCTCCGCCCCCTGCCCTGTGCCCTCTGGGCCCGCGCCACCCACCGGGCGCACTGCCAGGCGGCAGTGAGGCCCCAGACTGCCGCGATGCTGCTCAAGGCTGGCAGTCTGGTGTTTCCAGGCCCTTCTACCTCCCAGACACACCTTTTCCCTTAAAGCTAAATAAAACCACTAGCCTGTGTCCAGAGATCGGCCCAGGCTGGGAGGGGACCAGGATGCCTGCTAGGCTTCTGGGTAGGCAGGCTCAGTGCCCTCCGCCGCGGGTCCAAACATTCCGAGGCAGCTTGTCCCACTCCTGAACTTTGTTCTTGCTTCTGGTAGCTGCTGACATCTCCCCAGCCTAGAACGTGTCCCCTTTTTCTTCGTTTCCCCCAAGCAGCAGGACACGGGTCTGCATGGCTCTCTGAGAGGCACTGCATCATACTCTAGCACCCAACCTTATAAAGTCTATAGGCGTCCTAGCTGGGCATGGCGGCTCACGCCTGTAATCCCAGCACTTTGGGAGGCCGAGGTGGGAGGAATGCCTGAGCCCAGGAGTTTAAGACCAGACTGGGCAACATAGCAAGACCTCATCTGTACAAAAGAATGAAAAAACTAGCTGAGCATGGTGGCGCATGCCTGTAGTCCCAGTTACTCTGAAGGCTGAGGTGGGAGAATCGTCTGAGCCCAGGAGGTCAAGACTGTGGTGAGCCGTGATTGTGCCACTGTGGCGCTCCAGCCGGGCGACAGAGTGAGACCCTGACTCTTTAAAAATAAATAAATAAAAGACTGTAGGTGTCCATGCTCTTCAAAGTCACTGATGTTTTTTTCTCAGGAAAGCAAGATGTTGATACAAGCATTACTTGGGATGGGCTCGTTCGTTCTGTTTTTATGTAGCCATTGGTTACTTTGAGGCTGTTAACATGTACAATTAAAAAAAAATTCTTGAGTGCTTACTTTGCACCAGGTCCTGTGTCCTTTTAGGGCCTGTTAGCCCCTCCACAGTGACCCTATAAGGTTCCAGCAGTGTCATCACAACTGAGGCGCAGGGAGATTTTTGAAACGTCGTTCAAGTCTCACAGGTAGAAAATGGCAGAACCAGCCGGGCTCGGTGGCTCAGCCTGTAATCCCGCGCCTTTGGGAGGCTGAGGTGA